TTGTGTGTGTAGTGGGCGGGGGGCGTTGCGGTACTGCTCTCCTTCTGTGCTGCTGCTTGGCAGCTGGAGAATGGCGGCTGCTGGCCAGAAGCCCAGCTTTGAAGGCAGACCTGCTGCCAGCCGCAGCACACAAGCAAGGATGGCATGGTATGGTATTGCCACCCTTACTTCTGCACTGCTGCCTGCAGAGCTGGCCCCTCAGTCAGCAGGTGCCACTCTCCAGCTGCCCAGCTCTGAAGGCAGAGCAGAAGTAAGGGTGGCAATACCGCAACCTCCCCCTAAAATAACCTTACAATCCCCCTGCAACCCTCTTTTGGGTCAGGACCAGTCATGCCAAATCCACACAAAAAACGCAGAGTTGGTTTGTTGGTTTGGTTTGTTTTGTTTTGTTTTGGCTTAAGTGGCTTGTGAGTTGCTTGTTGGCTGGTTTTTGGCTTGTAGTTTGTTGCTTGTTGCTTCTTTTATTTTGATTGGCTCCCAGCAAGCAGGGGCAAGTGCGGGGGGCAAGCAGAGGCAAGGGGTAAGCGGAAGAGAATCAGGGGTGCACAGCGGGCCCACCACAGTCCCAGACTGCACGCTGGAGGGATCTAGTCACATGGAGTGTTGGGGTTCTTAGGGATTGGCTTGTTTTGGCCTTGTTTTGAAATGGGATTAGGTTGAATTTTGGCTTATTGTGAAAGTCGGGGTGCTTATTTACCACATGAAAGTTGGCAACTGTGGTCAGGACCCCCAATTTGAGAAACTCTGGCCTCTCCCCTATGAAATCTGTATAGTGTAGGGGAAAAGCACACACATGACCAGATTTCACAGGGGGAGACCAGATTTTTATGGTCCATGACATGTTTTTCCTGGCCGTGAATTTGGTAAGGCCCTAATTATCGGCTGTCTTAGCTGCTGCGATGCCAACCACATCAGTGAAGATGAGGGCAAGTTTAGTCTGCCGTCATGTCAGCCAGTCATGGTTAAACCCTGCGGGGACCTAATGAGCACAACCATGGGCAGCAGGTGAACCCCCGCTTTGGGGAGGCTAGCCCACCGGCCGCGCCCCTTCTGTCCAAGGGCCCCCGCCCACATGCCAGAACCCCAAAATCCCACCTCCCTAACAGGAGATGCCCTGAGGGTGGGGCGCCCCTGCAACTGGAGGAGCCCTGGTCCACCCGCCTCAGCCACACAGGGCCAAGCCACCTCCCCTGATGTACCGCTCCCACCCCGAGCAGAGGGATAGCACAGTGGTTTGAGCATTGGCCTGCTAAACCTAGGGTTGTGAGTTCAATCCTTGAGGGGGCCATTTAGGGATCGGGGCCAAAAATCTGTCTGGGGATTGGTCCTGCTTTGAGCAGGGGGTTGGACTAGATGATC